AAAAAAAAATCCCATCTATTCTGCAAAGTCAAGATGTTCACGATAGAAGGAGATAGGGTGGTCTGATGCCAGCGTTGAAATTAGCGAGTAATTGCATACACCAAACTTCGGTCCAAAGCTGTAGTGTCCTTGGAAATTGCGAATATACATTTGTTGTTCCTTTGGACAATATTTTTCGGTAAAATCCATACCGGAATATATATTTTAGTGGGTATAAAATGTGTTTAGCCTATTCAACGATACAAATTGCCGAACGTGCGGCAAATGTCAATTTATTTGATTTCATTATTTAGACGAGCTCCTGAGTTCATCACGAGGTATCACAATTAATATTATATTTACCGTACAGTTCTGGAACATAATATTTCGCATAATACAGTTTTTATTCTACTGTCTTTGGTTCATAATTGGTCGCTTTTAAGGACAAGAGGGCTAACCCAGATTTTGGGGCTTTCCAGAAATCTTGACCTACACTAAGAATGGGCATTGCGTTAGCTATAGGAGAAGTTTAGTTTCATTGGCGGGTATATTTGTTTGGTTAGAGAGAAAATTCTCCTTGTCTTTTAAAAGAACTGAACAAAGGGCAAAAACTTTACCTTCGATTTTCTCAAAACAGCAATTTTCGGGATCGCCCCCTTGTGCTTAAAAGCGACCAATTAAAAATGCCCAAACCCAAAGACTTGTGGAAAGAGAGAAAACGTAACTTTACTTCCTTTGATACCTCTAAGATACAGCGATCTGAGTCACACTGTCAGTCCTTACGAGTTTGACACAATCACATTATTTTCTTTTAAACAAAGACAAAGATATTGTACTATATTACTATTAATCGGGTCAGAACCATTCAGTTGTTTGTGATTAAGATAGATTGATACAAGATTACTGGTGAAAGTTTGATTTTTTTTAAAATCGGTTTCAAAATTTCAAAAGTTATGTGGAGAACAAAAACCCATGACGTTTTTGAGTTGAACGAGCGTTAGAACTGATATTGTTTTCACACTACTGACTTCCCCGCTTTCGTATAAATAAACACCATAATTAATACAATATTTTAGTAAACAAATCATGTAAACTATAGACGTTCTTTAGCCCTGAAGTGTATTCTGTAATCTAGTAAAGACAATCAGTCAACTTCGCTTTCAAAGTCTTCAACCGACTCATATTATCTTATCAGCGCTACAGTAGATTCATTGGCAAGTGAAGGTTGAAGAGTTGAAGATTATTATACAGAGGACGGCCAGTGCCTTGTTTGGTGATAGGCTCGTAATGTCACAGTGGCAACAATCACACACACACACACACACACACACACACACACACACACACACACACACACACACACACACACACACACACACACACACACACACACACACACACACACACACACACACACACACACACACACACAATATACTTTTCAATTGCCGGCACACAAGAAGTGGCAGCCACGAGCTAGGTTGTCTGCTTTAGCTTGTTTGTCAGTGTGTTCCGTGAATCTCCAAAGACACACATGATAATATGCTTAAGCCCATATTATCATAAGCAAGATAAGGAAGTGTTAAAAACAGGAAAGTCATTTCTAATGAGATCTAAGCTTAACTTTGTGAATTGATGTTTGTTGGCTGTGTTCTAAGCTGTGGATATGACGTCGAAAATATTTCCAAGAGTAAGTCCAAACCTATTTATAAGCGTGATGCAGAGACCAGTATTAATACTGTTTATACATCTTCTTAATTTAAAAAAGAGGGCGTTTTCACGCCCCCATCGACACAACTTCGATTATTTAGGAGGCAGGCTTCATACCCTGCTTGTCGGGGCCAACAAGTGTTGAGAAGGATACAACATCTCAGAAGAAAGACCGAGACACTCGATAAAAATTCGCCCCTCTCGGAAATCGAACTCAGTTCTCTTGTGTGCGACAGAGAAGCACTTAACCGCTGCAAGGCACTTGCCGATGTTAATACACGCATTAGCAACTATGTATCGTAAGCTCATTATTTGATAGGCATTTAAGAATTTTTAAATTATTTTTTTATTTTCCTTTAGGGGGGGGGGGGGGGGGTAATCTTTAGGCTATTTCCATGAAGGCCAATAACACGGACTAACAAGACCATATTTTTTTCTTTCTTTCTTTTTTTCTTTCTTTCTTTCTTTCTTTTTTTCTTCGTTCGTTTGTTTATTTGTTGGTTTCTATCTTGGCTCTGTTCGTCCACTCCAGGATTAGCCCTCCAACAACGACCTCCACTTTGTTTTACCAGCTGCTTTCTGTGTCCAGGTTGTACCTATCTACTCTTTGATGTCGTCCTGCCATCTTCTTTTTGGCCTACATCTTGCACGGGATGAACAAAGAAAAAAAAAGGAAAAAGAGAATGCAAATAGTTAAATTTTCCAAAAAGACTGAAATATAATTGTAAAAATGTGTATACACCATAAGCAAAAATCTTCAACGTGAGAGGAATCTCTGAAATTTTTCAACAGCCAAAATGTTCTCTTCTAA